TGTGGGTGTGGAAACTGGAGTTTGAGTAACAAGAGTATAAAGTTGAATAGAAGATACACTTAACCATGTTCTTTTGAATTAGAAAAATTAACTTTCAATTTCAACTTTTACCAATTTCTTCTAACCACTTATAAAAAGTATTTAAATATGATGAATATACGATAACATTATATATCAAAATTTATAACATATCACCTCAAATACGAACAAAAATAAATTTGTTTTTATCCAAAATCAGATATTATATTCCAAACATATTTATTTGGGTAATTATTTAATTGAATGACTTTTTAACGCTTTAATTCTTCCAGGTTTTTCAACTCCTTCCATTTTCTTCCGAATTCTTACTTTTTTTTCTACGTCCAACTCTAAAACTGCAACCCAAAAGAACAGAGCCTTAGTGTCTCTCACCTTGGAAAAATTAAGTGCAATGGGGAACTTCAATCTATTTTGCAAATGGAACTTGAAAAGTATGAAACCAGGATTTTATTGACATCCCTTAGGGGGTGTAACATATTTGATGTTGCAGGGATATTCTTATCAAATACTCCAATGAAGTTCAAAAGTTGGGGCGTGTTTTGTTCGGTCTATTGTCCGAGGCCTTGGGACTACGCCCCAACTATCTGGAGGACATTGAGTGCAACAAGGGTCTAGCGTTTCTCGGGCATTACTACCCCGCATGCCCCGAACCACACTTGACGTTAGGCACCGCCAAACACGCCGACAACGATTTTCTCACGGTTTTGCTCCAAGACGAGATTGGTGGCCTCCAAGTTCTTCACGACAACCGGTGGGTTGATGTCCCCTATGTCCCGGGAGCTCTCGTTGTCAACATTGGAGATCTTCTCCAGGCAAGCTATACTAGCTCCTCTTCCCACCCCTCATCCTATCTTTCAATAAAATCACTCGATCTAATGTTAACTGTTAAGTTGTCAATCAATTCAATCAAATGTTAAAGCTTGTGGCCGTAGGTCTGGGAGAACGGTGACGTTTAAACCCGTGATGACCTTTAGGTCATTAAGTAAGGCCTTTATACCATCTCAAGAAACCAAATAAACAAAAAAAAACTCAAACTTATGTTTATAATAAGTACATGAAATGTTTTTATAGTACGTCTTATAAGAAGCTTAAATTTTACTCCGTATATTTTTTCATACACGTAATTTAATCTCTTTCCATCCCACGACAGCTCGTGACGAATGATAGGTTCAAGAGCTCGGAACACAGAGTGCTGGCGAACAAGGTTGGCCCGAGGATATCGGTGGCGTGTTTCTTTACCACAAACTTGTTGCCATTGCCGCGGCTTTACGGGCCAATCAAGGAACTATTGTCGGAGGAGAACCCGGCAAAGTATAGGGAAACCACTGTTAAGGAGTACGTAACACATTTTTACGCAAAGGGTCTCGATGGGAATTCTGCCTTGTTGCATTTCAGGCTTTGAATTTCGCTTCCCCGCTTTGTTTATGGAAACTTATGAAGCTATACATGAAGGACAAAACGGGCCTGTTTGGAAATAGCGTTAGCGATTAGCGTTAGCGTTTTGAAAAGGCTATTTACGGGAAGCGTTTAGCGATTTCAAAGTAATCTGCACCGTTAAAATTTTATCCAAAACGCTAGCGCTAATCTCTAACGCTATTCCCAAACAGACCCAACGTCGCAATAAGCTACTTTTGTGTTATTATTTGTATGGAATGGTTCTTTTGTTGTGAGTGTATCTGTGGATGTATACAACACCGTGGAAGTTCTTTGAAGTGATGTTAATGATTTTATTAGATTTACTCTTTTCAGAATTTTCAAAATTCGATTATACTCCCTCCGTCTCAAAAAGATTTACACGTTTCAAAGAAATTGCGTCCCACAATTATCCCTTACCCATTTCTATTAAAAAACCACTTTTACCCTTTACTTTTTCAAACCTTACCTATCACATTATACCTTTTTTTTAATAATCTACACATCACATCATACTTTTACTCATCACATCAAGGGTATTTTTGGAAAGTCAACACAAAATTATCCCTCTCTTAATTTCTACTTTAGTCAAAACGTATCCATCTTTATGGGACGGAGGGAGTATTATATTACTCCTTCGGAAAACACTTCCTCTTTCATTCTTTTCTTTTCCACCAAAATACTTCTAATTTTTTTATTAAAAAACTACTTTTACCCCTTACTTTTTCTTACACTACCTATCAAATCATACTTTTTCTCTTATAATTTGTCTATCACATCTTACTTTTATTCATCACATCAAAGGCATCATTGGAAGTCAATTAAAATTTAACATTTCCTTATTTTGGCACTTGGTCAGAATGAAAATTATTTTTAAGAACGGAAGGAGTAATATTTAAGATGTAATACAAATAAAGAAAACTTGATGATTACAATTTATCCTATTTGATTTGAAAATGTTAAATTAAATGTTAAATTAAATGAATACTTGATTTGTACCAAAATAGTATGAGTCGATCTGTATCTTATTCTCAAGCATATGAAAATATTAGGGTCCGTTTGGTATACGGAATTGATGGAATCGGAATTGAATTAGAATTGAAGTTCCATGGGATTCAATTCCATAGAATTGAATTCTGCCAATTTCAATTCATTTTTTTCACTATCAATTCCAAATCCACATAATTTTTGTGCTACAAAACATCAGAATTGGAATTGAAGTCTTCAATTCCAATTCCATGGTTTGAATTCCATGTACCAAACGGGGCCTTAACGTTAATTTGTAAAATTAATAATAATCTCTTTCATTAATTTTTTTTTTCAGTATTATGGCCGCTTACAAAATTTTCTTACACGCTAATGGCGATCAGAAACAGCACTTTGCAAACAAAGTCAAAGTATTTTTCGAAAAAGTCCAAGTCTTCTTAGAAAAACAAAAACTAGAATAAACAAAGACTCTAGGGAGGGCCTAAGGCAAAGACTTTGCGAGGAGTGTAGCTTATTAATGTCGTGGCCTATACCACCAATCATCTACGCAATGTTCATCTTTTTTTTTCCCTCTACATTTTCGAAATAATTCATATTTTAATTTCTAAAAGATTTATTTTCGTAATTTTATTTTCCAATTCACACTATATATTTAGCTAGAAAAAAGAGAGACAAATAACTTAAATAATAAATCAATTCAAAATGGATACAATATATTACAATGAATTTATTTGAATATATTAGTCATGTTTGCAAAAGTGAGAGAAAAAACATTTAAAAAAAGAGGAATTGTTTTAAAAACAAACCGATCCCAAAACTACCAACGTCAACAAGTGGGTTTTAAATCAAATCAAAAGTCTTATAATGAGTAGTGACTTTATTTGTCCAAATAGTTTTCCCAATGGTATTTAGCTAAAACATTACATTTTTCAAATTTTGACGAAAAAAGTAAAAATTTTTATACTTTATCTTCTTATATCTTTCTACTCATTTGATTTTCACGATCTCCAATGCAAGACTTTAAACATTAATATCCTTTAAACATATATTATAGAAATTTTCTATTTCAAATTTAGGTATCAAAATGAATCTGATGATACTAAATTTATATCACGATTCAACATTGTTTTTTTCTAATTTGAGGTTAAAATTTAAAAATGTTGACCACGAAAGTCAAAATGAGAAGAAAAAATATTGGACATATAGAGTACTAGTATATTATTACTCCATTTGTCCAAAAAAAATCTCTTATTTCATTTCCGAGACATCCCAAAAAGAATCTTCTTTTCATTTTTGGAAATTAAAACCTTCTCCTACTCACAATCTTTTTCCTTCATCTGAGTCAATTCTAACTATACAAATTTATATTTCTCAAATTTACTATCAAACCAAATGATGTGTTTTTAGAACACAGGGAGTATTTTAATCACCTAGTATTAAACTAAGAAGTACGGAGTATTATTTTTTCACACACCAAACAACGAGGATCTACGATTCTACGTTGTTCCATTGATTTTGAAGCTTGTCTGTACTCCCTCCACCCCACCAACCACTCCTTCAAAAATGCCCAAATGCTATGATAATGTTGTGTTGGCTATTTGTGTCCCTTATTTTAAATGAAAAATTACCCAAAATAATCCCAACTTTACTCGGTATTTTAAAAATAATCTCACCTTTCATTGTGATGCATAATAATCCCAACTTTACTGAAATTTGCCAGTTTTGGGTCGCCGTTAAATTTCTAACGGAGGGTTAACGGAAATGCCCATTTTAGGCAACAAAATGAAAGTTGGGATTATTTTTGATGAATTTTCATTTTTTTTTTTTTTTTAAATTTTTCATTTAAATTTTTCCCATCAACGTTTCTTTTTCCTTTTTTGAAGATTAGTCTTAGTTTAAAAAATAAAAATAATAGATATAAAAAATGAAAAAAATGAGAAATGTAACTAAAATGATACAAAAATAATAAAATAAATAAGACAATCAATGGAAACTAACTAGAAATTGGTAAAAGTAAAATAAAAATATATGGGTGGGTTTTAATATTTTACGCATTATACAAAGTAGTAACATATCACTTCTTATTTTTTTAGAAAAAATTGTGTACAATAATTCAAACTTACCAGACGGCTTGTTCTTTTAAAAAATAAGTAGTACATTAAGATTCCGTATAGTGCGTAAAATGTTAAAATCCACCACTCCGTATGTATTTATTTTATTTCTTACCAGTTTCTGTTTAATTTCTATTGATTACATTATTTATTTGATTAATTCTGTATGGTTTTAGTTATTTTTCTCATTTTCATTATTTTTTATATCTATTTTTTTCTAAGGTAAGAATAATCTTTAAAAAAGAAAAGGAAATGGAGGTTGAAAGTAATTCAAAAAATTTAAATCAGATTTTTAGATAATGCATTTTCAAAAGATTTTGGTGCATTTTAACAGGACGCATTTTCAAACCATTTGTTGCACCTAATTTTGATGCAATCCTAACTCTTAGATCTCACAATGCAAATCACAGGATTCATTCTTATTTCTTTCTAATTAAGATTGAATTCTCACGAGAATATATGTGTGTGTGTGTGTGTGTGTGTGTGTATATATATGAGAGGAAGCAAGCAAAATCAGCAGGATTAGATAAAAATGGATGCTACACAGTTGAACCACCACAACAAGCAAAGTGAGCTCCAAGCCTTTGACGAGAGGAAAGAAGGGGTGAAAGGGTTAGTGGACGCAGGCATAACAAAGCTCCCATCAATCTTCATTCACCCACAGCAAGCCCTCCTTCACCAAAGCTCTCCTCCGCCCGCCGCCCAAGAAGAAGACAGTACTATCCCGACCATCGACCTCCACGGCATTCATGGGGACGACGAGGCAAAGCGGAGGCGGGCCGTGGAGGAGATGATAGGCGGAGTGAGGGGTTTCTTCGAGCAGGAGACGGCGGCGAAGAAGGAATGGTACACCCGGGATTTGTTTAAGAGCGTTGTGTACAACAGCAACTTTGACCTCTTCTCTGCTCCCTCTGCTAATTGGAGGGACACTTTCTACTGCGTCATGGCTCCTAACCCTCCCCATCCCCAACATCTCCCTCCAGGTTTGTTTAAGAGCGTTTGCAGGTTTTCCTTTTTTTCATCTAACCTAATTACTCCCTTCCTCCTATATCCTAAGTTTTTTCAATCTATTCTATTTAAATACCGGTATGGAAATAAAAAATAAAACATACATATTTAAAAACTACATCAAAAGTTCAACAAAACAAGTGGTGACAAGAATATTTTATTTTATCATATGGGGCATGAAAAAACACAAATAAATATAAATTCCCGTGAGGTTTGAATAGTGCTCTGAGAAGAAAGTTTTAGGACAGAGGGAGTAGTAATTACTCTCTCTGTTCAACTTAGATTTTCTCACTTTTTGTAATGTGAAATTTTCAGGAATAAAATATAGTAAGTCCTTTCCCAATGTAGAATTTAAACTTTTTTTAATTCCCTAACTAGGACTTAATAATGACCAATAACAAGAATAATGTCTAAGTGATGCTGGACATTTACTTGAATAATGACTAATAGATAATGACCAATGGTCCTATATTGGGAAATAAAAAGATATAGTCCTATATTGAGAAAGTCATTATGTTTTAGTTCTATTTAGGTAAATTACCCTTCTAATTTTATCCAAGTGCAAAAAAAAGGAAGTGCTAAATTGTAATTGATTTCAAATTTTATCATTGATGTAATGTGTAAAAGTAAGATCTGATGAATAGATTATTAGAGAACAAATATGATGTGATAGGTAGGGTAAAAAAATAGAGGTAAAAATGGTTTTTTAATAAAATGTAGAAGTGTTTTGAAAAAAAGAGAAAAAATGAAAGAGAAAGTATTTTGTAGAAAGGATAGAGTGGGATGTGAGTATAAGGGTTCACAAATTAAAGTGAAATTTACACTAGATACTACTCAAACATACTATTTCTGTCCCTGAAAAACATTTCTCCTATCTTTTTCCATTCATTCGAAAAAATTCTTCTCGTTTCTAATTAAAAATCGTTTTTACCCATACTAATTCTTAACATACATGTCACATCGCATCTATTCACTATTAACCTACTCATCAAATCCTACATTTTACTCATCACATCGAGAGAAATTTTTGGAAACTCAATACCAAAATATATATTTTTTAAATCATCTTAAAAATCAAAACCTCCCATGTTTTTAGGGACGAAAAGAGTATGTTTTTTCCAACGTGGTGTCCAAAATTTTTTATTTCCTAAATAGCACTTAAATATTATCCAGTGATTAGAATAATGTGTAGTGTCGGTGAACATTTACTTTGAACAATGTCCAGTGACAGTGGACATTGACTTGAATAATGTCCATGAAATTAAAAAATATAACACTATATTGAGAAAGTCAATTTATTTTAGTAAATATCCTGGAACTCAAATGGTGTGATCATCACCTTGTTTTTTTCTTCTTCAAAACAATGGTGTTCACATGTTAAAACTACCTAGTCACCGGATGTGGAAGTCTCAATTATATATCCTCCGCCCTTAAAGTTCTTCCCATTTGATTTTATGGAGAATTAAGGGAGAGATATTTTGTATTGACTTTTTAAAAATATCCTTGATATGATGACAAAAATTAAGATGCGATTGATAAATTATTTTTAAAAGGGAAATTTACTTAAATAACACTAAAACATAATGACTTTCTCTAAATAGCATCACATGTATTTTTTTCCAAAGTAGCACTTTTAGTCATTATCTATTAGTCATTATTCAAGTAAATGTTTGCCATCACCGGACATTATAGACATTATTAAGTGCTATGTAAGGAATAAAACAATTTAAGTGCTATTTCTTTTTTTCACAGTGAATACGAACTAATAGGAGCAAAAGTGATTTTTTAATAAAAATAAAAAACACTCTGTGGAACAAAGAAAAAAAAGAAAGGAAGAGTTTATGAGACGGATTGAGTAGCGCGGAAATTAGATTTATGCATATTATTTCACCTTACTTCCGCAGCTCCATGGATCGGTGTAATATACTTGTATGATGGTGCAGGGACATTCTTATCACATACTCGAATGAAGTTCAAAAGTTGGGGAGTGTTTTGTTCGGACTATTGTCCGAGGCCTTGGGCCTCCAACCCAACTATCTGGAGGACATTGAGTGCAACAAGGGGTTAGCATTGTTTGGGCATTACTACCCAGCCTGCCCGGAACCACACCTGACTTTGGGCACCA